TGGGTCTGAGGCAGCACATTTTAAAACTTGTTCTGTGAATTCCAGTTGTAGGATAGAGTAGAACTCCTCTGAAATGGGATTCTTCCCCCCCTCACCCCAAAACCTACATGAGCTCATTTCCAGGCGTAATGCTCACTTTTTCAGAGCTTGCTCTAGTGGCTGGGGGGGGTGGGCTCTCCTTTGATTCCTTGTGAGCCAAAGGAAACCCTTCAGACATGATACTCAGACTGAGCTCCAAAGCAGCAGGTGGCTCTTTGACATGTCTCCTGCAGCTCTTTGCAGCACATGATGAAAAAATATGGTGTGATTTTAATTATGACCCAATCAGGCTCAATGGTCCCTCTAATCTTTTACAGTCATGTGTGGATTTTTCCATGTGCAGAATAAATGTCATGTGCACTCAGGCATGGGTGAATGTGCACCACCAATAGAATCATTAGCATCTGAATTTATCCTGAGCACACGTGCACAACTTACAGGGAACACCGATCAGGATGCTTCCACTATGTGGTTAACCAGTTGTAGTTGACATATTTGGGTCAGTCATTTTGAGATGTAAATAAAAATAAACTAATTTCCCCTGCCATACCCTTTAAAGTTGACTCTGTAGTTCTACAGTAAATGAAACCGTGCACTTGACTATTGCTCTTTTGAGTAAGGCTGATGGTTAATTTCAGCTCCTGAACTCCTGAGGGTTGAGGAGCACTTTCAAAAGTGGCCTCCACCTTTGGCTGCCCACTGATAGACCCATGTAACTTACAGAAGTGCTGAGTACGTCACGTCAGGTGGCGCTCTGGCAGTGCCACACTTTTGGGCTTTAGTCTTTGTTGCTTCACCTGTAAAAGGCACCTACCTCACGGGGGAGTTGCAAGGTTGACATTTGTAAATGATTGTGAAAGACAAGTGTTACGTGCCCATTTAAAAATTGTATGGCCATATTTAAACCTTGACTCCTGTGTGTCTGCAGCTATATCCCCAACTTGCTGTGTACCCGCTGGTGTGCAGTGGGGCAAAATAACAGCGGTAGAAAATGTGGTGGGCATTAAACTCTGGACACCAAACTAGACTTTTTTTTGCCATTCAAGGCAAAAGCCAGAACGTTCCACTAGAGTTTAGGGCTTGTAGTTAACTATTCAACTGGGCTACGTCTACATTGGCAAGATTTTACGCAAATACTTTTAACGCAAGAGTTTTTGCGTTAAAAGTATTTGCGCAAGAGAGCGTCTACACTGGCATGTGCTTTTGCACAAAAGCATCCGTGCCAGTGTAGACGCTCTCTTGCGCAAATACTTTTAACGCAAAAACTCTTGCGTTAAAAGTATTTGCGTAAAATCTTGCCAATGTAGACGTAGCCCAGTTGAATAGTTAACTACAAGCCCTAAACTCTAGTGGAACGTTCTGGCTTTTGCCTTGAATGGCAAAAAAAAGTCTAGTTTGGTGTCCAGAGTTTAATGCCCACCACATTTTCTACCGCTGTTATTTTGCCCCACTGCACACCAGCGGGTACACAGCAAGTTGGGGATATAGCTGCAGACACACAGGAGTCAAGGTTTAAATATGGCCATACAATTTTTAAATGGGCACGTAACACTTGTCTTTCACAATCATTTACAAATGTCAACCTTGCAACTCCCCCGTGAGGTAGGTGCCTTTTACAGGTGAAGCAACAAAGACTAAAGCCCAAAAGTGTGGCACTGCCAGAGCGCCACCTGACGTGACGTACTCAGCACTTCTGTAAGTTACATGGGTCTATCAGTGGGCAGCCAAAGGTGGAGGCCACTTTTGAAAGTGCTCCTCAACCCTCAGGAGTTCAGGAGCTGAAATTAACCATCAGCCTTACTCAAAAGAGCAATAGTCAAGTGCACGGTTTCATTTACTGTAGAACTACAGAGTCAACTTTAAAGGGTATGGCAGGGGAAATTAGTTTATTTTTATTTGCATCTCAAAATGACTGACCCAAATATGTCAACTACAACTGGTTAACCACATAGTGGAAGCATCCTGATCGGTGTTCCCTGTAAGTTGTGCACGTGTGCTCAGGATAAATTCAGATGCTAATGATTCTATTGGTGGTGCACATTCACCCATGCCTGAGTGCACATGACATTTATTCTGCACATGGAAAAATCCACACATGACTGTAAAAGATTAGAGGGACCATTGAGCCTGATTGGGTCATAATTAAAATCACACCATATTTTTTCATCATGTGCTGCAAAGAGCTGCAGGAGACATGTCAAAGAGCCACCTGCTGCTTTGGAGCTCAGTCTGAGTATCATGTCTGAAGGGTTTCCTTTGGCTCACAAGGAATCAAAGGAGAGCCCTGACTAGAACCCAGGTCACCAGTCACCATCCGCTCCAGCCACTAGAGCAAGCTCTGAAAAAGTGAGCATTACGCCTGGAAATGAGCTCATGTAGGTTTGGGGGGGAGGGGGGGAAGAATCCCATTTCAGAGGAGTTCTACTCTATCCTACAACTGTCAGGGCTCTCCTTTGATTCCTTGTGAGCCAAAGGAAACCCTTCAGACATGATACTCAGACTGAGCTCCAAAGCAGCAGGTGGCTCTTTGACATGTCTCCTGCAGCTCTTTGCAGCACATGATGAAAAAATATGGTGTGATTTTAATTATGACCCAATCAGGCTCAATGGTCCCTCTAATCTTTTACAGTCATGTGTGGATTTTTCCATGTGCAGAATAAATGTCATGTGCACTCAGGCATGGGTGAATGTGCACCACCAATCGGATTCCATCCAAGACAAGGGCTGGTTTGCAAAGGCTCATTGAATCTGAATTGATAATAATGCTGTGACTTGAGCCCCAAGGAATTCTCCACATTTTTTTTTCACTGAAATGATTAAATCGGATGAGGCAAGATACCCGATCAGTTAACTTTTCCACTCCTTCATTTCCAGTGAAATAAAATCTAGCAACAAGTTTTTGTATGAGATTGCATTCTGTGCCAATGGGTCAGTGGCCAACTTAACCATAATAAATAGTCTAGCTTTTCAAAGATGTTACGAAAAAAGGGAGGGGGGAGAAGGACAGAAAAAGAAACCTTGAGTGCTAGAAGACAGTTTGTATTTCCCTTGCATTTTTACCCTGCCAAGTCACTAGCACATGTTCCCTGTAGCTGGCTAAACCGTCTCCCTAATGAGCATGGAGAGAACAGGGATTCAGACAGTCACATAGTCATTGACATGAACCACAAACATATTTGCTATAAAATGATGTAAGCTCCTAAGAGCAACAAACTCAGGTATCATCCCGGTCCAATGAAACTTTTTAGCCCTTACCCTGCGTAAGCTGCAATTTCAACTACCCTGACATTGGAGGCATTAAAATATTTCAGTTCTGAGTTAAGGAACATTAAAAGTGCTGGCCCCAACATGCTTTTTTTTCCTGATGGCCATGGGCTCCCTCCCCTTCCTCCTCTTTTGTTTTGAGAATTTCGGAGCTTGCAGCCTTGCGTCATGCAAAGATGGTGTCCAACTTAATTTAGTTGTTTTGTCTTTTATCATAATGGAAATGAATACAGGATCCGATAGTCCCATGTTTTTGTGCAAAAGTGGCTGCTTTGGCACAAAATCATGTAAATGTAGACACAGCCCTGATGTTTAGTTTAAGAGGGCTATTTTATTTTCCTGTATGGACCAACCTTAGCTTTGCAGAAGAGCTGAGAGGGACTTGAGCCTGTAGCACTGGTGGATTTCCTTACCTGCAGCCCATGTATGAACAGAACCAAAATGAGTTTGCTGAAGCACAAAACTCTCAGTAACGAAGCACAGTTATTTTTTTTCCCTCTCTTTTTGAGACAGACTGAAAATGCCTGTTGCTATTGATCTTGTCTCCATTTTCTTTCCTATTGCGGATAGTGAGTGAAAACCATGTGTTAAGATGATTTACCTAGTGAAATTCTGAGAGGGTGATCATTTCCTGTTAGAGGATTAGGCTACTATTTCAGACTTTTATATGTTCTTTGAGTAGCCTTTGTTTTGTATGGACAATCCCAGAACCTAGGGGTGCTTTTGTCACGTGTCCCTTCTTAAAAAGTGGCAATTGCACCGCTGTTGTATACAGCCTTGCAAGCGAATAAAACACTCATGCCTGCCCTAGTTCAAAGGTCATTTTAAATTGATCAATTTAAAAATTAGTGGGGGGAGGAAAATGAGCCAGAATTGGCAGGTCCTACCTACTGAAGGGGGGGGGAAGGAAATGAGCCAGAATTGGCAGGTCCTACCTACTGAACTCAGGTGCTAAGTTGTCATGTGTTCAACATATCTGCTAAGGCCAGTTACATCCGCAAAGACAATGACCTTTTTGAAGCATATTTCACTCTCTCAGCCTCCTCAGGCTGAAGCAATTATACTGTGAGCCATTAAACAGAAAAAAGATACAGCCATGAGACTAGTTTTGCCACCAAAGCCCACAACGAGTTGAAGGGCATTTTTCAGAGCCGCCTGCATGGGGTTGGTTTTCTGTTCTCCCAGGGCAGACTTGAGGAAAATGTTTCTAACTTATTCATGAATCATGTTACTGATCAGCATTGACTCTGAATCAATTTTAATGACACTAACATCCATATCTGTATATATCTAAATGGGCATTATTTTTTTAGGTCAATGTACTATTTTCCCCACTCAACCTGCTCCTGTCTTAACTTTTTTACAAGGGTCTTGATTCTTGTCAGCAAAAAAAACAACTTGTTCTGAAAATTCAGAGCATGCTATCGGATTACACAGGGTGCTTTGTGACATGTTACTGAGCAACAAAAATAAAGCAAAAGATGCAATTATGGCAAACTGGAAGTTGAAGTTACCAGCTGTAACTTTTTGCTCTGCATAGTTCTGTAGTTTAAAAATAAAATGAATGAACCAATAAATTTTTTTTGAAATGTCTGTTTACATATTGCAGTTGTGGTTTCTGTCAGGCTGTTGGTTGCTGCTGTTATTTAAGTATACCACGGAGTAATGATGAAGCCTAGCAGTTAGGATTGCCAGGTGTCCAGTTTTCACTCAGACTGTCTGTTATTCCAATCTCCCATCCGGTAAAAAACACAAACCAGAAAATACCGGACATGTGAAATGTCCAGTATTTCCTGTTTCCCTCGGACAGAAGCCTGGCAGAGACAGGGGAGTGAGGAGCACGGGGCCATTTAAAGGCACAGTTGTGTCTGGCAGGGACAGGGGAGTGAGGAGCACGGGGCCATTTAAAGGCACAGTGCCTTTTTTCTTTGTTTTCTTGCTTAACAACTTTATTCCCCCCCCCCCCTTTGGGGGGGGAGGCAACCAAACAAAATCCCCCCCCCCCCCCCCACACACACACAGAATTTTTTCCCAGGGGTGGGGGGGGAAGAGAGGGTGTTCAGTATTTTTTGTTAAACCATCTACTAGCAGTTGAGTTATTTTTTCCTTTGGGGTCAGAGGATGCGGCAAGATCTCATGGCTGTGATTCCAACGTTACAAAGATTCTTGGGGATAAGATGGGCAGGAGCCCCAGTCAAAACCTGTCCATGACAGACCATTCCCTCTCTGGGGAGTAGAATACTGGCTTATTAAGAGTTCAAACAGTCACAGTTTATTCAAGTGTTGAGTCACCCGTAGCAAAATCAATTCTTAAATGTACAGACTGATCTGATTCTTCATTTGTGGCACAAAAACTCCACAAGCTCTGCATTGGTGGAGAGTCACAGTAAAAACGATCAAAGTGCATACAAAAGTTCATAGGTTCAAGGTGCTGCTAAGCCCACCTTGCAGCAGTCAATGGCACATTGGAGGCTAGTTACTTTCCTCAAGAACCGAAAGCAAACTGCCATGTTTCTAAAAAGCCCTTTTATACATAGTCTCATTTGCCTAGTAAACTCTTCCCCACCTCCCCCTGAGATGTTGTCTAGCATAAGACAATATTAGAATCTACTTCACCTCCGTCTTGTGTGGCAAGCAGTCTGTACTCAGAGGATCTCTTATTCCTACTATATCCTCCGGAATAGGGCTTTATTCCGGAGGATCGTGCCAGTCTGGATGCTCTTTTCCGGCTTTTCCCCAAGCCAGAAAAAAAGCGGCGGCCATGTTTATTTAAATCCCACGGGGGGATATTTAAATCCCCCGCGGATTTCCCTATTCCAAAGTTAGAAATTAGCAGGCCTCTTCCGAAAAAGGGGCCAGTCTAGACGTAGCCAGAGGGCGAATGCAATTTCTACAGCAGTGAGTGAAGCCTGGTCGATGCTATGGAAACTACTGTGTTGGAACACAGCCGGGAACAAAGGAGTTAAATCCTATTGTCTGTGTCATGGGCAGCCTCTGTGCGCGTTATTCTTCGCTTCCCCCAGGGCCAGAGTGGGTCCCACTCCAGCTCAACTCACCTTTACTAGAAAGGGGAGCAGGGTCACTTCAGAGTCCTCTAGCCCCAGTGCAACAGCCCTGCTTGCAGCAGCTAGCCAGCCATGCGAAACAGCTTGCGGCAGCCAAGTTCTACTCCTCGTGCAAGAGCCCTTCCACCCACGCTGCTCCAGCACTGAACGGGCCACGGCATGAGAACTGGCGCAGAGGGAGAAAAGCCAGGGGCTAGTGCCTGTTGCACTTCCACTGACTTTTCTTACACTGTTTTCTTCTCACTGCAGCTAATAAATCAGGCTTAGTTTAGTGGGCAGGGAATTCCTCATCCACATACACCTAATGCATGGAATACTGGCCAGCCACTGCCACAGAAGCAGTTCCTATCCTGAGCAGCAGGCCCGTGAAGGGAACTGCGAGGCAGCTGCTGAGCTAAGGCCTTATTCACATATTCTGTGCACTATGCCCCTTCTTGCCACTATTTTGCACAAGTTACTAGCTTCTCAGACCAGGACGAAGCAGCCCTTGGAACGTGAAAGGCAGGACCACAGCTGGGGTGGTTCGAGGCTTTCCTCACCTGTCAAGTTAAATAAATGCTTCAGTCTCTGGCTGGCTTTGATCCTGAGCGTCTTCTAGATGGTCCTGCTCCCAAGAGGCAGAAGGGCACGTACGACTGGCTTCTCCATTCATTTCCTTCAGCGGATGGTACGCGTAGTCCCCATTTTCACAGTGCAGCCCTGCCCGGCGGCTCAAAACCAGCCTCACGTTTCCTACCATGCTGATCAAAAGCAGCAGCCCCAAGACAGAAGTGACGCCGATCCAGGTTCTCCTGCGAGAGGGGAAAGAATGATCCAGTCTCAGAAATGAAGCATTCTATGCCCCACTACAGCTGCAGCTTTCAGGCACCTGGCTGGCTGCAGCCTCCGGTCTCCCTGTTTCTCACATGGGCTCAAGTAGGTACTTTCAGCCTCTTGCCTCTACGATGTTTGGACTTTTCCCACAGCACTGACCTTGGTGCTCGCTCTCCTCCACCAAGAGCTGACTCTGGCAGGTAAACAATTGGGGCCCAGAAGGAAGATGAGTGAGCGGCTGATAGGCCCCGCTCTTTCCAGCAATTACAGGAGTTAGGGATGCAAAACTGGGAATCCTGGGGGCCGCTCCGGCAGTGAACTGGGTCCTGTGGTGCAGTGGGCACGGCCAGGCTGGCATTAGACGTGGGCCAGATCAGCCCAGCCGGACCACCGGTTAACCACTTACTTGGTAAGCATCACCCGGTAACCAGTTAACACTTTACACATCCCTAATGAGCATGCTCAACCCTGAGTCACTTGGTTTCATAGCTAAGGCTAGGAGCTGGCCTCAGAGATCATGGATTTGGGGATTTTAGGAGAACTTTGGGGCTCCAGGGGCCTTGAGCAGCCAGCCCTGTGCTTCTGTGATTTATTGTTTAGTGCAGAATAGAGTGTACTTGGAGTGCTCTTACTTCTCTCACAGGAGCCAGAGTGTAGGGCTAGTTGTGGCTCCCTTGACTACACCTGAGAGAAAGGCTTTAACGATGGAGGCCCACCATTAGCAGTGCAGCTGGTCTAGTCTCTCCACATCCATAATTAAAGCACCAAATGGTGCCACAGCACCAGGATGTTCTGCAATTTCACAATCAAAATTAGCTAGCCCAGAGCTGGCAACCCCCAGCAACATCAGGCAAAAACTAAGCCTCACAGTGCGTACTCGGTTCCTTAGGGCTCCACTTCCCTACAGGAGTTATTTGCAGTTCAAGAGCTAGCGCAGCTAGAAATTTTCAATCCATTCCCTGCGGGATAAGAAATTGCCTTCGGTTTAATGCAAATTCTGCAGTGTAGGGCAAGGGGACATGTGAGAGACTTTTCTCCACCCACCCCTAGGGTGCAAACCTGGCTGCAGCGAGGCCAGAGGGGAACAAAGCTCTCATCTTACAGTTACGGAGATGATCAATGCTCTATCTCCAAAAGCGTAGCCAAAGTGAGGTTGGTTTGTGATTCATCTCCCTTCCCCAAACCAAGGGGCATGAGTATTATTGACAGGCTGGCTGTTGTCCCCTGGGAAAGGAAGGGCAGGGCACAGGCTGGATATCGAGTCTCTCCCAGGGGGCCTCTCATGAAAGCCAACAGACAATGGTTGCCCTTGCCTTCCCCTCCAGTCGTGTGCCAGAGCAGCAGCAACAGGACCCCAGCTCCACAACTGGAGGAAAGCCCGTTTGGACACGCTCCGCAGCCCTGGGGCAGCCCGAGCTGAGCACAGAGCCTCAGAGGCAAGCATGTGCGCTATAGCCAACGCAGCAGGCGGCCTCCCAGCTCTGGGGCCAGCCTCCCCACACAAGGCTGAGGTGGGCTGTAAGGGACTGCCCAAGGGCAGGCCCTGCTCTCGCACAGGTTCACATATAACCCATAGTGCACACTTACTCTGAGAGGAGGGATTTCTCGGCACTCCCTGCCTGCAGCACGTGGAACGCCAGACAGAACCCAGCTGGAAGACAAGATGACGACAGGTGAAGGAAACCGGAGTAGGCAGGACGGAGCAAGCCCAAGTGAAGCGCAGGGAAAATCACTGGCTCGCCAAGATGGCGGCAGTTTGGGTCACGGTGCCAAGGCACTAATGGGTGAGCAAGCAGGGCAAGCTTCAGGCCCTGCCGTCACACCAGTGTCACACAGTAAAGCCGCTGCCCCGTGTAGCCGCAGAGGAGAACCGAGCAAAGCCGCAGCACGGGCCGTACCTGTGGCTAACTTGTCCTGCAGGCTGGACTCATACGTGATATTACAGCTACCCGTCTCCTGGTCACAAGGACAGCTGTGCTCGCAGTCACAGAGCTGCTGGCAGTTTGGCCCATACCTGCCTATGGGGCACTCTGAGGAATTAAGGTTAACTGATTACGAAGAAAGCAGGGATGTTCCCATTAGCACAAAGCCCGTTACCTCAGCCATGCATGTTCCACGAAAGCCGAGGCAATTCCGGTAATTGTTCAGAAACATTTAAATGAGTTTCATTTCCCTGCCATATTTTTGCATAGTACCTGTCTATCTTAGGCACTTGGCTGGCCTCCAACCCCACAGCATCTGAGCACTCAGGGAACAATTTAAAGGCCGTGATTTAGTGTGGCAGGACAGGCGTTGTATAAGGGACCAGCTCTGCGGCACACACTTGTAATGAGAACAAGGTGACAAAACTCAAATGAAATGAGCACAGTTAATTTGTGCAGCTCCCTACAGAAGGATCATTACACAAAGTAAGATTCACAGCAGCATTAGATGTTTTAATAAGAGCAGGTGCCATTACACAAGGTAAGATATAAGAGCAAAATGCAAATCAGACATTAAAGTGAAAATGCAAAGGTCACACACTTGTAATGAGAACAAGGTGACAAAACTCAAATGAAATGAGCACAGTTAATTTGTGCAGCTCCCTACAGAAGGATCATTACACAAAGTAAGATTCACAGCAGCATTAGATGTTTTAATAAGAGCAGGTGCCATTACACAAGGTAAGATATAAGAGCAAAATGCAAATCAGACATTAAAGTGAAAATGCAAAGGTCA